GGTGGTAGCTGACAACAGGGGGGTTATGGACTCTGAAGGGGACTTTGTTAGTGGTGACCTCAGGGGACTTTGGTACCAGGACACACTGGAAGCTTGCTGTGCTCATCACAGGAGGGGAGGCGATGTGGTTGGCAAAGGTGGGAGTACACTGTCCCTGCAGGTCCCTGTGCCATTGCAGCGGCTGGCAGCTTCAGTCCTTACTAGAGCTCTGGGTCCTCTGAGTGTCCCCTGCAGTGCCTCAGCCCTCTGTCTCATGCTCACCAGTGAAGGGAAGGGCTGCAGTGTTGCGGGAAGATGAGACACGATAAAAATCACAACTCTATCGGGTCTGCCCAGGGATAACCTGTGCCTCAGTTTCCCTGCAAAACCTGCTTGTGACATGCTGTCCCAAGGCAGGAAGGCAGCCTGGGCTTGGGCACTGCGCTCAGCTCTTCCTCTCAACATTAAACAGGCGATGCTGAGCCCTGAGCATCCCTAGCACTGAGAGCCAAGGCCCTGCTTTGGGGCTGGGCTCAGCTCAGTAGCTGAATCAGCAAATAATTAGCAGGACCAGAGCCGGGGGATTAGCATCCCTCTCCTCTCCAGCCATCCAACACAGCTTAACCCTTTCATCCATGCGTCTCCAAAGCTTTGGGGTCCCTGGGGGATGCTGTTGTTGGGCTGGTGCCACTGTGGGGATGGTTTCCTCACACTCCTCTCACCGGAGCAGTGTCCTTGGCACAGTAGCAGCCATGGAGCTGGTGTATGGCTCCAGGCGAGCTGTCAGTCCCGTGCCTGGCGGCTCGTTTGTTCACCTCCGGGCAGCCCGATGACAGCGCTTCCCTTTACTACCAGCTGCAAAAACCTGGCAGCTGATTTAGGAGAGCTCCCGGGGCCCAAAATGTAAACCGTTTTTCACCAGGAATATATAAGCAAGCCATAAAATAAGGGATTTGAGTCTGGTCACATGGGACAAAGCCTCCCATAAAACTGAAGCATTGATCTGTATTTTAGTGAGCAGCTTCGAAACTGCCCAGATGATTGAAGACCTGAGCTTTAACAAACTCTGTAATCTCCCACCATACATCTGAAGTGGCATGTTTGAAGTCTGAGGACGAGTTATTTATATGATTTGTATAATACATGGTGAAAGGACATTAGCCACAGCTCAAGCACCGGTGATGGGTACTGCTGCCAGAGGGATGTAGTCGCTCCATGTCAGTGCTGCCCTGCACATTGGTACTCATATGTGATAGATGAGGTGACCCTAAACTGCAGGATCTGGCCATGCTACTGCACAGCAATGCTGTCCTGGCTGCCCTGTGCCATCTGTAGCTTCTGGTCAGGGAGTTGTGGCCATCTCCTGCCTTCCTGGCATGTGTCACCCCCTTCCCACTAGGTCACCCCCTCTCAATGTCTGTCATTCCCTTAATGATGTCTGTCACCCTCTTCCTAGAAACCTGCTCCTCTTATGTGTCATGCTCTTCCAAGCATCTTTACAGCCACCATGGTGGTGTGTGTCACCTCCCTCCCAGCATATGTCACCCCCATCCTGGTGTTTATCACCTCATTCCCAGTGTGTCATCCCTTCCTGACATGCATCACACCTTTCCCAGCATATGTCACCCATTTCCAGCGTGTCACCCACTTTCTGGGATGGATCACCCTGCTCCTGGTGTGTGTCTCCCTGCTCATGGAGGAGCAGAGGAAGCCATGTGGGGAAGAAACCCACTGCCACCCTTTCATTTCCATGACCAATAGGAAATTTGTTTGAGAAGTGTATTTTCACTATAAAAAGTGTAAATCTGGGGATAAACAACATTACTTATAAATTCCAATCAAATCCTGGTGAGGCCAGAGGGGTGTCTGGGATATGGGCTGAGAAAGGCCAAGTGCCATTTAAAACCATGACTTGCTTTTCCATGCCTGGGAGATGTTTCCTTTCAGCCCTAACTTCACTTACCTTGGACTTCAAGGGGTTAAGCAAAATATAGTTAGAAGCTGGAAAGTGTCTCGTCCAAACCCAAAACAAAGCAGGACAATTGGGGTCACCTAAAGCGTATCACAACCTTTAGATGAAGTTTCTCAGTAGCTTTACTGCCCCAAAATCTCCATGGTTCCCTATTTTATATATATACGCATTTTGGGGACAGCTGTGAAACCCAAACCACCCGGTGCTCGGCACTTCCAAAAATCCAATTTTCCCATTTCCTGCTTGTCTCTCTTGGAACATCAACTAATCACAATAGTTTCCCATGGAGGTTATCATCCAACCAACCAATAACCCCTGGAAAGCCCCACAAGCTCCCTACCATGCAAGCCACAGCCAGTGCTGGTGCAGCATTCTGGGTTCAACCCTCCTTTCCCCCTGCAGGCTTCATGGATAGGTGGAAAACAGTGCAACATTCATCCTTCAGAGAGCATTCTGTGTCTCCCAGCACTGGGCTCCCGTGCCCTTGGCAGGACGATGAGAGGTGTGATTACTAAATCCCTTGCCCACTTAAGGCAGGCTCGGAGCTCCAGCCCACAGCGAGGCATATTTGAAATGCTTTGGGCCAGATTCCTGTGCTGTGCAAGCTTTCCAAAGGTGACCCAGGAACACCCCCCCTCCCTAAAATAGCCCCTGGCCATGACACTGAACTCATGCTATTGCTGGGGTCCTTGGGGTGGGCACTGTTATGCCTTTGGGAGCACTGGGATGGGGAGGACACGGGGGACAGGGTCTGCTTTGTCTCATAGAAGCAACCCCGAGCAGAAGAACCAGGGTGGGACATCCAGGGCTTTGGGATGTACAGCTCCATTTGGGAGCTGTACACCATGGTCCAGGCATGGAGGGGTCTGGGGGAGCCACTATGATCCCTGTGGGGTGCATTGCTCCCATCCAACCAATGCTGCTGGAAAGGAAGCAAGGGAACACTTATAAGAGGGCTTAAGTGTACAAACCTGATAAGGGATTAGGAGGGTTATTTCTCACTCTCTTCCCAGTTACCAGATAGGACAGGACTGGGGCTGCTGGTGAGGGGGCCAAGCTGTGGGGTGGGCTGGGGGCAGAGCCCCCAGTGCTTTCATCAGGGGGGAAACCACATTAAATGTCCAAGGTTTCACCACATGGGGAAATTATTAGGGCAGCTTTTTGGCAGGGGTCAGAGCGTCACTTTAATAGCCCTGGCTTTAATGAGTGAGCGTGTGTGTGTTGTTGATGGCTGTGAAGTTCCCTAAACCAAGGGAAATCACTTTGGTTACCTGCTTCACTTCCATGGACTGGCACAATCAGCATCTGGAAAGGACTGAGCCCACCTCTTCATCTGTCCCGATAACCAAAACTCCTCTCAGTGACTCACTGCTTGACCAGAGTTAAGGATCAAACCTCATCTTGCAGGGAAATAAGACAAATCAGCTTTGAACCCTCCTTACAGCCAGCTATGGGGCAGGTTTTACACCAAACCTGCCAGAGTTCTCCGACTGTGTGAAAAATCAACTTTCGTTCAAAAAACATACATTTTAAAAGCTTTAACTGTATCACTTAAAAAGGGGTGTGTGTGTGTGTGTGTGTGTAAATAATTCTAAGTCAGTCCCAGGAGCTTTGCTTGCCTGACTCACGATTAGGGGTTTTATATTATATATATCTATATATATCACATCAGAAAATACTGTAAAACCCACTTTCAAAGCCTCAGAGGACCTCGGCCTCCTCCGAGTATTCAAAAGCATCAATTACATGAACATTACGGGCAGGATAGTTTGTACGAACCCTGTTAAAAAGTCAACCTGAGACCTGTGCCTCTCAATCCCCTCGCTGCCCCCAGGGCTGGAACTGATTTCTACCTGGGCTTTGGCACTAGGAAATGTTTCACTTGAAAAAATGTTGAAAAGCATTAAAAGCAGCCCGTATGCACTATTATTGAGAAAATCCCACACAGATGGGCTGCATTGAACCCCCAGCAATTATTTTCTGCCTTTCTCGTGAGCTAATGAGATGATCAGAAGTCCCCGGCGGCCTTCTTTTGCCTGCAGACCTGTGCATCAGCCTCCTCCTCTGCAGTGTGGGGCTGGCACGAGCCCCTTTGCCAGCCATGGTGCTCCACTGAGAAAGCAGCAAAGGAAAACTCTTGGGGTTTATGGCTTTTTTAGTTCTGAACGTGTTTTGCTGTACCTGCACATCAAGGACCCACAGGCTGTCCTATGGCAAACCCATGGATGAACAGGGGTAGCCAAAAGGAGAAAACAATCATTTTATCCCATATTAAATTGGATTTGACATTATGCTGCCAATAGGGACCCTTTTGCCTCTATTGCTGAGCATGGGATGCGGGTGTTAAGCTGGGTCAGGGCACAGCATTGTCTCCCATCACTCCCCCCAGCATTTCCCCACAGCTCTAGCAGCAATGGGGAGCCCTGTTCAGGCCAGACTACCAGTTGTTTACATCCCCCGGTGCCTCTGTGCCGCTGGGAGCCCTGCACGCAGCCGGGCGGGATGCACACTCACCCCTCTGGCATGAGCAGAGCAGAAGGTGGCTGAGCTCTGCGCCCTTATCAGCACCAGAGCCCTCATTACTGTCCAGTCTAATACTGCAGGCTTGGCCTGTACCTTACGGGCCTGATTCCCTTAGACAGAAGCTGTTATTGTCCAGATGAGGGGTTTGAAGTCTTGCAAACACAAACCTATCCTCAAAGGGAATTTCTTTCGCTGACACTTCCCGAGACAAAGAAACAATTCCTGCCTGTGCTTTCTGCAGATGGATCTGGCCTTTTTTCCTCCCCTCCTCTGGATATTTGCAGGGCTGCCTGCTTCTGCTTTCAGTAAGGAAGGGATTGGGGTGACCACCTCAGTGTGGGGCAGGAGGGGAGACCCCGCTGCATCCCATTTTACCACTGTGCTGGGATCTGCTTTACCAACACTATTCACACAGGTCTGGGCTGGATGGGGGTCTGGGCAGTTGCTTGCCAGCCCTTTCCCAAAATCTCCATTTATAACTGGGAAACAGCTGGATCATTCCTTAGTGCCCATTGCTTTCCTCCAGCACGATATGAGGCTCCTGCTCCAGCTGGGCTTGGCCAAGCAAAGCAGCAATGGGAAATCCCATGGCCTTTCTGCACTGTAAGCTCATCATATTGTACCTTGTTAATGGTGCACGAGGCAAGAGCCAGCTCCTCGCTCACCGAGCCCAGAGCAAGGCTCCTGCTGCCCACACTAGGATAAGAGCAGGCTCTTGTTCGCCAGTGGAAACGGCATCTTGAAGAAGTAATCTGATCAGATGCAACTAGTTATTATAGTGGACTCGGTGACTTTAATGAGCTCCTGCACAGACTGGATTACCGCGGTCACTCATCCATAGTTCATTAGGGCTTCAGAAAGGGGATCCACGAGCACTCATGAAATACGACCTCCTAATCTCACCTAAAGCAGGAGAAGCCTGGCTATAAAGAAAACACCTTTTAAAGAGCCCACAGAGTGAATAAATCTCCCTCGTGCTAAAAGGCAACGAAAGCGGACCTGTGAGGGGAGGGGATCTGCTCATGGGATGCGTTTTCCGTGTGCGCAGTTAAAAGAGTCCTCACTTGGCTGGAGGAGCAGAGGTCCTTCTGGTTCTCATTGATCCAAAATATCTGTCTAATGGTTTTCTTGGGGTTCCTGGGGAAAAGGAATGAATGCTGGTTGGGTGGAGGAATGAGGTGGACAGTTCTGCTGTCCCCCTGGACTGCAGTGGGCAGAGAGCCAGAGGAGAAAAGTCTGCCCATCCTGGAGGGATGCCCAGTTTGTGTGTCCCAAATGCAAGGCTGGAAACATCATTTATGGGCAAGCTGGTACCCATGCCCCTGAGCCTATCCCCAGCTGATCCCTTTCCCAGGAAGAAGGGCAGGTTTGGCATCACCCCAGGTATCTGCTCACAAGAACAGATCACCAGGGTAAGGATGCTCCTCTGAGCATGGCACATCACCTGGTACCACTGTGGTAACATCCCTATGAATGGAGGAGAAAACAGAGCTCCAGAGAACGTGGGGACAGGGATCCCATTTGCACAATGCGAAAACCATTAACTGGGAAACCCACCTCACTCCATGGGCAAAGGAGGTTGGCATGGCAGCAGCGATGCCGGTATGGGGGGATGCAGAACTTCACAAGCAGGATACTCAAAAGGAAAACCTGAGAAGATTCCTTGTCCACTACAAACCACCCCAGCCCTTATCAGGGAAAGCATTCAGCAAGCGATTAACTGAAGACTTCATTAATACTGCTGCAGCTGGGACAGCTCAGGGGCTTAACCTGAAGCATGTGCTCCACTGGCTGAGGGTCTTAATGCACTTAGTGAACATCTGGATACAGCCCGCCCCTTCCAGACCTTTCTTCTCTCCATGGGCAATCAGGTTATCTGGAGGGGAAGGAAGCCTGAAAGCTGACTCTGTCCTTCAGGGCCGCTCTCATTCCTCAGCAGCCCTGGGGGACGATTTGGCAGACAGGAGCATCACAAGGAATGTCCTGTGATGGACAGCTCTTAACGGGACACCTCTGCATGTACCCCTCTGCAGAGTGACCACAGATTCAGACCCCAGCCCATCCTCAGCAGCCTCTTGGCGTGGAGCAGTGATGCTGAGGTTGAAGGATGCTGCTTCCCCTCCAGACACCTCCGCGCAGGCACGGGTACCTCTGGACACGCAGGCTCTGCAGACTCCAAGCGCCGAGAAATGTTTGACAGAGCAGCGTACATATTCCAAACACTGTTTGATTCATGTTTTAAAGTCCCACTTGCAAGCATACTTCCCCAGCTCAGGCATCAATCACTGCAAATATGTTCTTATAAACAAAGCAATACAGACTGACTGTCTCTTCCACCCCTTACCATGTGCAGGTCACTGGGCAGCACCCTGAGGAGAGGCACTTCCCAGTACATCTGAGCCTCCCTGGAAGATACTAGCACAGGTAGCTAGGAATAAGCAGCAGGAAACCCCTCACTGGTGGCACAGTACCACCTAAGGGCATGGATCCCAAAGACAGATGAATCCCTCATCGCTGTGCTGAGGATGACTTGCTCCTGCTGCACAGCTAGAAGAAGGTTACCCTTGGATGGAAGGGTGTCCATCCTTGAGGTGACCAGGCATCCCACTGGATCCTCATCTCCATCACTCCATGTCCCCCCAGACACACATCCCTGCCAGAACAGTCAGGGATGACGGATGCCGTAGTCAGGACAGAGCATTTCCCAGTACCCAGAGTTCCTGCATACAGCTGCACACTTAGAAGGGCAACAAGAGCAGATGCCTGATTGCATTTTGTGTTTTAACCCTGAATGTCTCATTATCACACCTAATACCTACAAAAGAACCCCCTCCTCAGCACTGGGGACCTGCTGCATGTGGTGTGGGCATGGGCAGGTCATGGTTGACTGCTCCCCATCATCACTACACTGTCACCACCGATGATACCCTGCCTGTGCTGCCTGAAGGAGCATAGGGTTGTGCTAGGACAAGGCTGTACGTGCTTCCACTACCATGAACATCCCAGACCCTACAAGCCCCAGCCCTTGTCACCATATAGGGCACACACAGCTATGGGGCCACCCCTGCTGCCAGACAGGCACCCCAAGAGTCCTTACAGGAGCAGTGAGACACGATGAGGATGGTGACAGAAATGTCTGCTCCAGACTCATGGGTTATGGAGACTTTCTGAAGCAAACTTCCTTTCCTTATGACGCTCCAGCACAGCGCAGGATCCTGCTGATGGGCAGCTCTCGTGCTCCTCATCCCTCTGTTTAGGAAAATTAAATAGGAAAGAATCCAGCAGCAGCGCTTTCCTCCCACTGCACAAGATGGATCAGAGCTTGCCACTGCAGGTAAACTGTCCCACTGTGATCCAACCCAGTGCTTTGTCCTGAAATGCTCCACTACAGCGAAATAAATGACTCCTCTGGAGCAGGGTGACACATTCCAGCCCCAGACAGTGACACTGACAGATGCAATCATCCTGCGAGGTTTAATGGGAACATGGCACTGGCAATAGGAAATTTATGAGGAATTTGGGAGAGGAAAAGGAAAACCAACAGCATTTGCTGGTGTGGGAGGGAGGAAGGTCCCGATGGGGCAGCATTGTGGGTGACTTGGTGGCAGAGGCCTGGCTGCAGGGAGGGAACAGCACCATAGTGGGACTAAAAAGGAGTCCTGGCTCTGTCACCCATGAACAAATGATCAAGAGGTGACATCGTGGCCATCTGCATGGGAAATGATCATCCCTGTGGTCCCAGCATGACTCCCATCCTGCTGCTGAGCACACAGAGCTGCTTTTCCAGAGCAGCAGCATTGCATCCCTGGGTTTGAGCATGCTCAAGTGCTCTCAGGTCAATGCCACGAATCCATGGCACCGAACACATCCAGCAATTGGTGGATGGGGCTTGGAGCAACCTGCTCTAGTGGAAGGTGTCCCTGCCTGTGACAGGGGGCTGGAACTGGATGAACTTTAAGGTCCCTTCCAACCCAAACCAGTCTGGGATTTTAAGTGGCTCAGGCTCATACAGCTGGGGCTGAGCACCAGCCTGCTCACTGCACAAGCTCCCCATTCCAGCTGGAGCACTAAGGCAATGGACTGTTTGGACACATACTCCAGGTTTTCCTCCCCAGCTCTTGCCCTGCATCCCTGTCAGCAGGACGGAGAGGCTCTATCAGTCTACATCTTGCCTGAGCCAGCCCGGCACCAGCCCTGATGGCCTGAGATATCAGCAAGTGGCTCAGCCACAGAGCTCCAGGGGGACAATTAGAGAGGAGACAGCTCCTGCTGCACCCAGCTGCCTTCCCAGGGCTGGGGGCCTGCCGGGATGCTCGGGGGGCTGCACTGCTTTGGGGTATTTCCCCATAGAGGGGCAAGGAAGGCAGCCCTGCCACAGGTCCTGCGTCTTACAAGGCACCACTGCGAGGGCAGGAGAGGGGGAAAAAATGCCTCAGTGCTGCAGGGAGATTTACAGGGCTTGTTATCAGCACAGGAAGAGCCAGAGCTTAGGGGCAAACAGGAGATGCTTTGCCTATTGCGGTATTTTTTCCTACCGTGCTCTGGCCCCGTGTGAAGTCAGGCAGCACGCTCAGCTCCACTTCTCGCTTGCCAGCAAGCTTCATGTGAGCCCTTTCGCTTCATGCCTCTGCTCACTGAGCCCAGAGCAACTCTGTGCATTAGAAGAAGCAGTTCACGTTTAAGTGCAGTGCCCATAAGTGCAGCAGAGCCACTGGCGTGGCCACACGTTAAAGCCCAGCTTGCTCAGATCTCCACATCCAAAGCATTTGGGTCTCAGCAGCTGCTTTTAACTGGGAATGTGGTTTGTAACCACAGCCAGGACCAAGAGAAGGGTGGTTACAGGGATTCTGTGAGTCTTCCCTGTCCCACTGCCCACCTGCATCTCACACCAGCATCACCACATTACCCATGGGTCAGAACCTGGGGTTTATATCCATGAGATCTCCAGGATGTGGGCAGCTTGGGAATGGAAGTTTTATTCCTGGTGAGAAGGGATGCTCCCTGAGGGTCATGCTTTGTGCTCATTTAAACCCCCTGCAAATACATGGGGGAGCACAAGGTGATAGGGATACAGGAGGTACATTCACTCGCTATGGATGTGTCTGAGAGAGGGGGAAAAACGACTTCCTCATCCCATATATTAAACAATAACGTCCACGTGAAGGAAAGCAAAGTCTGAGTGAGTGAAATGTGCCCACAAATGCCTTTATCAGGCAGAATCAGAGAAAGATCAGCTGCGGCGCGGGAAGCGAGCGCGCTGCTCACAGGAGACCCAGCCCATCTAGGGTTTCGGCTCTGGTTAATGACACTGCAAATTAAGCCTGTCATCTTTAGACATGACGTTTCTTGCCGGTTTGGCTCAAGAAAACCACCACCACCCTCTCAAATGGTGGTTTCACAGCAGCATGGCCCCTTCCCTCCCTGTCCTGTCCTGAGGAAAACCATGGCAAGGAGCAGCGCGCATCCAGAAGGATTCCAGTTCCCCTTATAAAGGCAGGTTCATGTAAATCTATAAGTAATAACAATTTTTACCTGATTTCACAGATGTTGAGCTGATCAGCCTGGGAGGGTCTCACTGAGCCTGCATAATGGGGGCAGCTGCATGTCGAAAATCCATTGAAGAAGACCCTGGGATAGAAATAATTGTCCTTAAATCACAGTCTGATGATGCCACTAGCAGAAAAAGCAGCACCATATATATAGACACAGCATATAAGTACACAACATATATATGCTCAATATATATATACACACAACATATATGTTGTGCATATATATACAATATATACTATATATAATATATAAATAAATAAATAAATATATAAAAAAACATGTGATGATTGCTGGTGTGCATATCACTGGCCGAGGAATTACTGAGATTTTTCCTTCTGTATTTTAGGGTAACATGGAGCCAATGAAAAATAAAAGGGCTTTATGAAGCTCTTGATGCTGCGTTGGGGAAGAGTTTTTGCTTGTCATAGGGTGAGTGTCCTCATCTCCAATGGGATGGGCTCCTTTGAGAGCCCATAGGAGCACTGGGGACACTCAGAGCAGGGATGAACACTGCTCCAAAATCTCTCCCTGCCAGAACACACCTTTACAAACCTTCATCCAGATGGAAAATACACCACGCTGAAGTTGGAGATGCTTCACTGTCTGAGACAACCAGGATTTGTCCTGCAAAACATCCCTGGAGTTGCTCCATCACCAGCACTGCAGGCAGGTTTTGCCACATTTCTAAGGGAGTTCTTGGATTTATGGTGTAAAACAACCCCTTTTTGTCCAAACGAGATGCTTCCTGCAGAAATGGCTGGGTTGGGTTGGGTGCTTTTTACTTTGATGGCTTCTCAAAGGGCAGAACATGTTCACACGAAGTTGCTCCAAATGTTTCCAAGCAAAGTCTTAGAGAAAACTGGAGTTTCACTTAAGTGTGTTTTAATGGGGAAGGCTTGTTTTTCCTTCATGTTCACTGCTCTGCTTGGGAAACAGGGAGCCAAGAGCAGAAATGTCTTCAGCTCAAAGCAAACTATTTTGTTTCAGTTTTGAGGACTGGGGTGGGATCGGCATTTTTATGGGAGAAATGTGTTTTTCCTTCCAAAAGGCTCCATTTTAAAAGTTTTCTACACCAGAGGATGTTAGGAGGAGTTGCGTATTGATGTATGATAAATAAAGTCATTATTCTCTGGCAGTCTGGATTCACATTTCACAGCACATCCATATCCCATGACTCCCTGAAAGCCAGCTCCATGGCCCACACTGACAATACGACACCCCATGCATTTGAGCCTTTTCCCCCTCAAACATCCCCCTCACCATTCTATGCCCATGGGTCCCCAGTGGTACCAATGCACTGGGTGCTGGATCCCAGCTTGGGATAGGGGAAACCCAGCCCTTGGGAGGCAAATTTCCATCCTGAACCCAAACTAGAGGCTGTTAGGATGATGGGAGCGAGACTGGGGCAGCTTTTATAAATAATAATTTCAAGAAAAAGTTGTTTTCTTGCCCCAAACCACCCATACTTGGATACAAGGCCAGGGGAGGGAAGGCACAGAGGGTGTCCCCAGCACAACATGGGGCTGGCAGCTCTACAATGCATTTGAGATGGTGTATTTTGGGAGCACATTCCAGTGCTGGGATGGCGGCTCCAGCAGAGCCCAGCCACCCTCCCAGGCTACACTGTGTTCCCCATATAACACCCCCATACAACACTAGCTTCCATGGGCTGTGCTTATAAAAGCTGGTGTGGCTGGATACAGCCCATGGCCAGCAGCAGCTTTGTGTGAGATGTTGTTTTTAATGAAAGAATCAGATTTCCAGGATTCCCCCTTTATCTCCCTGTTTGCTTGGCTTTTTGTTTTTGGTGGGGGCATAAAGCAAAACCCAAGGAAATAATAGAAATAACTGACCCAAAACTTGCATTCCAAAAATGAGGCTATTTGCAGCCCCAGTCTGATCCCAGGCTGCCCTCTTGCTTCTGCCACCTTCCACTTATAAAAGCACGAAAAAAGCACTAAAATGGTTTAAAACCTCCAGCCCCCAAATAATTTTCAGTTGCAGACCCAAAAAAAATCTTAACAGATGGCTGTTAATTTTAAAACCCACCTCAATTTGCAAAGAACAAACCCAACCTTGATAAAACCATCTTGCAACTCTCTATAACCTGATGGCCAATCCAGTGGCTGCATGAACCTCTTGGGATGCAGCGAGGAGAACCTAAGGAATACCAGCCCTTGGGAACAGAGTAGCTCCTGCACCCAGGGGGAGAGAAGTCTTGGGATTTTGGAGAGCTGGGGATAACAGTATAGTGAAGCACCATTAATTGTCCTCATTCTCTTACCCTAGAAGTGCTGGGAAGGCAGAGCCAGACACAGCACAAGGCACTGTGCAATGAGAAGTGAAGCTGCCTCCAAAAACTTACAGACAAAGTGAATAAAACCCCCCAGGTAGATCCACATGGAGAAGAGGGCAGGAAGTATGGATACTGGGACATGGTCCCACCATAGGGAAGGATGCTGCTCTCTGGCTGCTCCCCAGGGCCAGCACTCTGCATTGAGCCGGCAGCACAGTGGAGCCTTATTAGAGCATCCCCAAAGAGTTTGGTGGCCTGGACCACCATCACCAGCTTTCTCCCATGGCAAAGCCAATTACCTGCAATGCACACATCACTGTGTAAGACACAAGGAGCCAGGTCAGTCCCTATGCCAAGAGGGGGACAAAGACACATCTCACCTCACAACCCACCTCTCCTTTTCCCACTGGCACATTGAGATGACCTGAACCTGCACCCACGAAGGGGAAGTTGGAAGCATTGGTCCCAGACCTACCCCATCCAGAGCCAGCAGTTTGTCTCCAGCTATGCCCCAAACCAGATGCTTTAGACAACGCCAGGAACTGCCTTAATAAGCGCTTATGCAATCCTTCTCACGCGGAGGAAATGTCTTTCCCAATCCCCAGCCATTAGCAGTTGGCTGATGCCCTGGAGCGGGACATTTTAGAGCCCTTGTAAATTTGCTTCAGGAGTGGAAAGTGGACGGAGCAGGGGAAGGTGCTGGTTTTTGTCAGGGAGCTCTTCTCTGCTTCTCCCCATGCATGGAGAGCTGCCACCATGGGTCAGTACTTAAACCACAAGTCAAGGCATCAGGGAATGACGGTGGCATCTCCTGCCCCCCAGCCACAGGGCTTTGGGGGGGGGTCAGTGTTGGTCTCAGCAGGGAATCTGAGTGGGGAAAGAAGAGGCTTTAGGGCAGAAGCATCACTCCTGCATCAGTGCAATAAAGATGTCAACTGGGGCTCTCCATACACATGCATCATCTACGCTGGCAGTCAGAGCTCACAGACTCATTTCTTCCATCATCTTCAATTATGTGTCCATGATGGGTATCATAGATACTCCCTTCATGGCAGGTACAGCCTCCTTCTGCTTAGCCTCCTTCTGCTCATTTCTATGGCAATCAGATGAAGGAACAGCACTGTTTCAAACAGGGCACCCCCACCACCTCGGAGCAACGGTTCTAGGGCTGGTTCCAGGGGTGAGGCTGCTGTTCCTTCCTTTTGCCTATTGCTTGCATCCAAACCTAATTGCACATTGACATAGGCTGTCTTTGGGGAGCCCCGCTCCGCTCCACCAGCACAATGAGCCCTTGTTGATCCAGCCCCAGCAGTTTTGCAGGTTAATTTATGGCCGCCACACCCCATTAGCGGCAATAAACGTGGAGCCCGGTTTTGCCCCAATTATGAGTTACGGTTTTTCAAATAAATACATTTTTTCCTATAAACCAGCGCTCTGTTTAGTTTGAATGTTCCTCACAGGCACATCCATCTACATAAAATACACAGGAGAGGAAGCCGAGCTGTGACTTTGCTCTGATGACATAAAAACTCTGGTAAACACAGTGTCATTTGCAGCACCAGCAAAGAGAGAGCACCAAAAATAACCAGTGAGTGCCTGGCTCATCCCTGCATGAAAAAATTAATGCTTTCTTTCCATAAAGCTTTGTTTCCTTTTTGATTTATCCAGGCAGGGCAATGGCTGTTTGGCCATAAATAGGTTGTTTTTCTTGAGAGGCAATGGTTGCAATCATCCGTTGTGTCGCTGGAGGGGCGGCACGGGAGTTATATGTCCAGTGATGCTGTGGATTGACGGGGAGAATAGGAGCATCAGGGCTCAGCACACCATGGGTACCCATCCACCCCAATTCCTTCTGTTTCTTTGGAAGGGCTTTAACAGCCTGGACACCACGGGATGTTGCTTGTGTGATGTTGTAGGATCAAGGACCAGTGATGTACTTTGGGGGGACCCAGGTGGGATTTCCCCTGCATCCCAAAGGTCCTCGTGCTCTGACAAGACTTACACTGGCACAAGACACATGTGGCAAGACATCCAGGAGGAGGGATGTCCTGAATGGGCTTTTACAGCTCTGATGCTCATAGCCCAGCCTTGGCCATGACCCTAGGGCTGGGCTCACTGCTGATCCAACTGACCTGATATCCCTTCTGCATGTTCTCTCCCTCCTCACATCACCACAGTGAAAATAATCTCCCCTGAGCAGCCCCACGCGTGATGCTGACCCCACAGACCTCCCATCAAAGCAGACTGCTCATGCCTCAGTTTCCCAAGGCTTTTTGCAACCATTCCCCCAGGCATCTGGGATCAGAACTGTTAGGAAGGTGCTGAGTGATTATTATTGCATTATTTCGGGCGAGTGCTATAAATACCCAGGGGCACCTTTAGACACAACCCAGCTGCCCGGGGGAGCTGGCTTAGCTTCTGCTGTTGGAGGGGGGGATCGCAGGGTATAGAGGTACCTCTGAGCATAACCTGGTGGGGTACCCAATGGGGTACCATGGGGTATTGGGACTGGGACCTTCCTGGCTGTACCCTGTGGTGGAGCCTGCGGAGGGGGGATGCGGGTGCAGGAAGGTGCCGGGATGCTGCAGGGAAGACAAGGAGAATATTTTACGGGGCTGCAATGTAAACAGAGCTGGAGCAGAGCCCCTTTTTATGAAGTCCCTGTCCTGCCAGGGCATCTGCCAAGGCACTGATTTACGCTCCTATTTAGATAAGGGAGCCGGGGCGGGAGGGAGCAGAGCTGGCGTCAAAGTCACAGGACACCCTGGGCTGCCGGGCACTGATAAGGAGGTAGCTGAGGGGCCGGGACCAAAACCATGGCCCCATCCCAGGGCAGGGGATGGATGTGGATCCATCCTACTGGGATTGGGGTGCAGGAGGGTGCAGAGACCCGGGGTAGCCTCACCCCCCAACATGTGGCACTGACAACCCCTGTCACCATCATCAAGGGTCAGGAAATCTTTCCCTGGGAAGGCTTTGAAGGAAAACAGGTGGAGAGAAACGTGGTTCCTCCCGCCCCACCAGCCATAAATCCCCTAATCCGAACCGCTTGGCGTTCCTCCCCCCTGCACAAGTAGGGAGAAGTGAAATTAAAGGAACTCACCAAAAGTTGGAGAAGTGCTAAATTTGGACGCCATGACCAAGGCAGCCTGGTTTGATTTAGAAGGTGCCGGCGTGAAAAGGGCTCTGGTTTTATTATTTTATTAAAACACGAAAGATTAGAATGATTTTCCAAGGGAAAATCAAGCCATGGGTCCCGCTATTTGCTCAGCTGAGCACTTCCAAGCTGTTCAGGGTCCAGGGACCTTGAAGGGTGGTGAATAAAGCAAGATAATGCCCGGGCTTGGGCTGTGCTTACCTGGCTCAAAGGCTGGAGGTGGCTCTGGTGCACAGCTCGAGGCGATGGCTCCAAACTGGACGTGGCTGTGCAATGCAGGGCTATGGGGAGGGAAGGGCTGTTTTGGGGGTGAGGGGGGTGTTTTGCAGGAATAGGGTTGGGTGGCACAGACACCAGCCTGGTGGTTCGGTGGATCAGGGCTTATACAAGGATGAGAAGAGGTTCAGAGAAGAGCTTGGATAGCTGATGAGAGGCAGCAAGGCGCTGCAGGTGATGCTCTGCTTATATGGGGGGGTGAGGGATGAAGGAGGACCTCTGAACGGTCCCTTAGATAGGCAGTGGTCCCCACCAGCTTTAAGCTGGGCTCAGGGATCCCACCCAGCCATGGGTGTTTTGGAGGCAATCAGGGACACAACACCCTGCCCAAGGCCTGACTCTAACAAGAGTAATCACTAGCAAATGTTTGCAGGGCGCTTGTTTAAAGGGGGTGGGAAGGGGGGGGTGGGCTTTGCAGCAGCTAAGAACAAAGCAGGGGGGGAGCAAGGTTGGCCAGATCCATTATGGCCGCTTCCCCCCCCCCCCCCCCCCCAAGGCCCCTGGCTGCCGGAGACCCCCTTGCACCCTGCCCCTGCCCCCCCCCCCCCGGCCTCCTGCCTTTGCAGCTCGCCTTGTAACAGCTAACGATGGAAAATCCGAGGCATTTAAGTGGCTCCCGAATCCGCCCGGGAACCGTGATTGAGAGAAGTCAAATAAAATTTGTCATCTTTAAAATGCAGGAGGACGTTAATGGTGTGTTAGCCCGGATGATTAATACAAGCGCCTGCAAACAACCCTCCAACGTTTCCACCCTCCGCTGCAAGATGAATCGCTGCAAAGCGCCGTTAATCGCTAACATACCTCGGGCCCGAAGCCCCTTCCTGCCCCGCCACGCTGTGATCGCCACCGCCGTGCCCAGTGTCCGCACTGGGAGTAATGGGAGTGAGAGCAGGGGTCGTTCCCAATGTCAACTGACAGAGCGGGGTCTGGGAGGCATCACCTCAGGGATCTGCATCCCATGGGTGCAGGGGCGAGTGGGATGTGCTGCCCATTGCAGGGCCCCACGCTGGGTTTGGGGCAGCATGAAGTACAAGACCCCAGCCCCGACGGGACCCCCTCCATCCCTTTGGTGGCCAGGCTGGGACAGGGGATCACAGGGCAGGGCCCCAGTGCTCTGTTGTAAGTGTATTTGTGTGTGTGGACAGTATAATCTCTATATATTTATGTATGCATGTGCAGTGTCTGTGCATGGCTGTATAGTACACGTGTGTGTTTATATGCCATACATCCAACATGTGTGTGAGCATGCACAGCATGTGTGTGCATGTAATATAAGTATGATGACATTGTGTGTGTACCGTATGTGTGCTGCTGGTGGGTGTACATAATATATACGGGTGCAGTTAAGTGCATGTGTGCAATCTATTTGTGATGTGTGTGTGTACAGCACAGAGAGGAGTACAGTGTGGGCTCATGTCTATGTTTGTGGGATGTGCAGGCAACATCCAGTGAGTCTGAGTAACATATGTGTGTGCTCTAAATGCATACGTGTGCTGTACACGCGTGTAGTGTGCATCTGTGTGCAGCACAGCATCCGCATGCACACAGGGCATGCATGGGCAATGTACCCCATGTGGAAGGAACACCCCCTGCCCTCACCCTGCCGTGCCCAGCCCGTGGTCTCCCCAGTGCCTTCTCCTGCCCCTCTCCTCCATCACCCATGAGGCTGCTCATGCCCGGCTCGGGGTGCTCCGAGCCTGCCACACTGCCCGAAAAGCGTGCCCTGGGAACGGGGAAGCGGAGGGGATGGAAGCGCGAGGGAGTGGGAATTGGGGTCCCCCCTCGGGTCGCTCCTCACCCCCTTCTCCTTGCAAGCAGGGAGCAAGCGGGGGGGAAGAGCGAACAGCGGAGGTGTGAGCCCAAATAAACCGACTCGACAGAGCGGCGCACGCCCCCTTCGCCGCCCGCTCCCCCCGGGGCCCCCGAGCATCCTCCCCTGCCCATTGGCTCCGCGGCGGGGGGGGGACCCGGCCCTATATAACGTCTGGGAGGCCCCAGAAGGGGTTAATAGGGGAAAAAAAAAAAGGAAAAAACCCACCCCAAAGAACCCAAAACCCCAAACCTCGTCCGCCTCAGCCCAAACCCCAAAGCTACCACCACCATCACCGCAGCCCCTCGCCGGAGCCGCCTCCCCGCTGCCCGCCCGGTGGGGAGCCCTTCCCGGCTATGGTGCGCTGCTGAGCGCGGCCCCCGGGGCCAGCGGGGCGGACCATGAACCTGGTAGGGGGCTACCAGCACCACCACCACCACCACCACCCCATGCTGCACGACCCCTTCCTCCTCGGGCCGGCGGCGCGGTGCCACCAGGAGCGAGCCTATTTCCCCGGCTGGGTGCTGAGCCCGGCCGAGGTGACCCCCGAGCTCCCGGGCCAGAGCCCGAGTTACGGCGCCGCCGAGTACGGCCCTGCCGGCCCGGGGCGGCTGGAGGCTCTCAGCGGTCGCCTGGGCCGGAGGAAAGGGGTCGGGGGACCCAAGAAAGAGCGGCGGAGGACGGAGAGCATCAACAGCGCCTTCGCCGAGCTCCGAGAGTGCATCCCCAACGTGCCCGCAGACACCAAACTATCCAAGATCAAGACCTTGCGCCTGGCCACCAGCTACATCGCCTACCTGATGGAGGTGCTGGCTAAGGACAGCCAGCCCGGGGACACCGAGGGCTTCAAAGCCGAGCTCAAGAAGGCCGACGGCAGGGAGAACAAGAGGAAAAGGGAGACGGTAAGAAGCGAGTCGGGACCCCGCTGCCCGGGGCTGGGAGCGGGCAAGGAAAGCCACGGGGCTGCGGGAAAAACGCCCTTCCCGGTCCCGCTGGAGCCCTTCTTTTTCCCATCTTAAAACCAAACACCCGCAGGAGGGAAAGCCCATCCCAGCTCCCGGCCGCTTTTCCCGAGGGATGAACCCCCGGTCCCTCCGTCCCCTCTCCCGGCCGCTTTCCAGGGAGGAGCGGGCGCATTCTGGGGCAAGGGCGGCCGCTTTTCCCCCGCCGCAGCGGGCGGGGTGCAGGGATGGGAACTCCAAAAACCTCCTGTTTTATCCTCGGGCTGGCAGGAACCGCGGGCTCGGCTGCAGCCCCGAGGCGGGCACAAGGTGCCCGGGCCCCCGCTCCCTCTGACCGCTCCTCTCTCCCCCTTCTCCCCGTCTCCTCTCCCGCAGCAGCCCGAGGTCTACTCGCAGCCTTTGGGCCACGGCGAGAAGAAGCTGAAGGGCCGGACGGGCTGGCCCCAGCAGGTCTGGGCCCTGGAACTGAACCCCTGAGGGCTTTCCCACGACGGCGCTCCCCGCTCGCCCCTCCATGTGCAATGCCGGAGAGAGCCCGGCCCGGCCCCCGGAGCCAGCCCGGGCCCTGTTGCCCCCGCCGAGGCCGATGCTCCGCGGGATACAAGCGACGGGCGCCCTGCGGGGCCGGATCCTGCCTGTCCCGTCGGCACCGGGGGCCGGCCGGGTTATTCCCTCCCTCGCCCCTTCCCCTGTTTGCAGTAATCGTTGCTCCTTCCCGCTGCCAGCAGCGATCGGCGGCTCCTGCCCCCCCTGGCCGGGCTGAAGCGGTTTAGTTCGTTTGCTGTTGTAAATAAGAGCCCCAAACCCTGTCCCCGTCCGCTGCCTGACCGACGTGTGGCTGCGGTGAAACTACCTAGAGGTGCATTTGGGAACACTCCTGTGCCGGGTTTTCTACCTCAGATCTGCATGACCACTTCCCGAGGGACCGAGCGCGCCGCACCACGTATTTAAAACAGAATAATTAACAAAACCATGAAATAAAATACAAACTCTATGCAAACAGCCTCGGCTCCGACCCCTGCGCCATCCCCGCCTGCTCAGATCCCGCTCTTTGCCGGGATAACGGATACTGAGGGATTAAGGACTCCCCTGAAATCAGTACCTTGCTATGGGGCCGATCCATGCGAGGGAATTCCCTCCCGTAGGATCCTTTGAGACTTGTTCATGCCGTGCTTGCTCACCCCAGGAGTTGGTGGGCTCTGTGAAGGGTACCCGCTCTTCGTTCCTGAGCACAAAACTGCCACTGCCTTACAACCCCTTTTCCTCCTCACCCTGGAGACCTGCTAGAGGGACCGGACTTGTATTTGGCATGGGGAAGGATGGCAGGATCAGGCCTTTACAGCGTCTGGATGGCACGAGCACCGCAGAGCTGTGGAGCCCCTGTTTTAATGCTGCTGAGTGTAAAGAACCAGGGCTCGGCTCCCTTCCCAGCCCCGGCAGCTCCCGACTCCATTCTCACAGGGATCCCCTCTTAGCTGCTGCCTCAGCTGCATTTTGAAGGAGCAACATTCCCCCCTCACCATCAAACACATAGATACCACCAGCCTCAGACACACCAATGCTCACACAGCCCAAAGTCCTCTCTGTCACCTCTTAGGATTAAATCCTTAATAATGCTTAATGGTTAAAGATGAAACCTCATTCCTTTATTCTGTACACACTCAGCTCTGTTACCCAGCGTTTCCCAAACGCAGTCAGGGCCTGATCCTGCCTTGCCACACCGCTGGTCCCAGGAACACCAGGATAGACCCGGACACTCATCCAGCTGTTCAGGGCAAAGAGAAGCAGCACGGGGTTGGAAGGTTAATCCGAGGGCTCAGCAGGGAGCATTTACATTTTCTATTTGAATCCCAGCTTTTGTTTGCGTCTAAAGGTATAGAAATAGTGATGCAACATCAGTAAATCACCGATAGATCCATCAATCTGTGTGTGTGGAGCCACACACACCAAAACCACAGCAGCTCACCAGTGGGGAAGCAGCTTGGGTTTTGTAGCCACTTTGTGTGTGTGTACAAATACAGACCGATGGACACATAAATGCTTTGCGATGCAATTAGAGTTCCTCGAACAATCAGGCTGCGGGAATCAGCCTCCTCGTGTTTGGCAGCTGCTGCACCGCTGCTTTCCCGATGTGTTTTTTGATCCCTTTGAATGAGGTGGAGATGAGGATGGACTGATTGCCTGAGTGCAGCGGTGCTGCACTGATGGAGTTTCAGTTTTGTTTGGGCTATAAGAAGCTCAGCATGGCACTGAAGCCATGAGTGGATTTAGAACAGGACATTCCTAAACCCAAATGCATTTAAAGGGGAAAAAAAGAAGGAAAAAATAAAATGCAGAAAATAAACCCCAAATATCCTACTTTGTGGCTGGGTTTCACGGTCCCTAAAAGTACTGGGCTTTTACAGGAAGGCTCCCAAGCCATCGCTAACACTAACCCAGCACACTGTAAATGTGTCCAGCACCAATCCTGGTTGCATGTGCCTGCATCCGTATGGCATCGGTTGGGGCTGCTCTCTTCAGATAAGAGAAAGGGTTAATGGGGGGACCTAGGATTTGCTCTTCTGCATGAGGCTGAGAGTTCTGCACAGAAGTCAGTGCCCTCAGTCCTGGCACACCACAAACATGGTTTGCAGCCTGCGGACCCTCCTCTATCTCACTGAGAACCTCTGGTGTTTTTTCCCTATGAGTTTCCAGCTTTCCTTCTGGAAAAGGGGCACCCTGCAGAGCCTGGCGATGCTCTGCCTGCATCCACTGGCTGCTGTTTTTCTTACCACGAGATTCTGGTGGTGGTACCTGCTGGTAAACTTCTAGGAAAGTCCACACCAGCCTCCCTCACTTCGTTGTGATTCTGGAAGGGAAAACACTCTGTTTCCATCTGCAGAGGGATTTCTTGCCCAGCAAGGGCATTTTCCTGCAAGACACCAGCTTAGCATTTTGGGATAGGATGGGTGAAAAAGAGCACTGAGCAATTCCTGTTCCCTGGGCTTTGCCGCTCCCCACACCCCATGCTTTAGAAGTGGTTTATCTGCAAGCAGTGAGCTCCATCCCTGCCTCATCTCTGAGGCTGGGAAGGGCGTTGATGCTGAGCTCAGAAGGTTAGGATGGGGTCACCCCTTCACCCCAAAGGGAAAGGAGCTGCAGGGGGGTGGGAGCTGTGCACAGGGAC